CAGTCGAGATTGCTAAACACAGGTTTTATGGGACGTATTTTCCTAGAAGTTAAATTAAACAAAAAATACATGCATAAACATAGGCCAAAGAACGCGATTCTAGACAAACCCGAAAAGAAATCCCACATTACATTTCATTAACTTCGACAAAACGATTTCTATCTTTCGTATTGTCGTACAACGTAAAACACTGAAAATTTCCATAGGTTGTCCATCTTTCAGAGCATTCAAAGGCGAATAAACTTTACTGGAGGGCCTTAACCTATTAAATTCAGACAACAATGTGATTAATCACAAAAATTAACTTCAATTTTAGCACTGTGTAATTTATTCATATGCCCGTGAATCGCAGACTATTCATAGAGCTAAATTAAAATTTCATGGAAATGTGAGTTAGATTTGCAGAAAAAAATTTTAACTTCCCGTAGGGTTAGTTATAGTAATCGCAAAAAAATCTGAAAAATGAAAACTCATGTATTTTTACGTTTCAAAGGTTTCTGAACATTTTTGGCATACCTTAAAAAATGGATGTATCTGTGTGTTTATGTGTGTGTGCGTGTGTGTGTGCGGATACAAATTTTCGTCGACGATTTCGGAAACACCAATCAACCGATTTAAATAATTTAAAAAATATTCAATTCGTATTGATAAGGAGACGTGCTGATTAGTTTTTGGCGAAGGCAGGTCTATCCGTTCCGAAGATACGGGGCAAAAAGTGCCAAAAACGGTAACTCAGTTTTTAAGAGAACGGAGCGTCCGATTTTAATAATTCAAAAAACATTTCACTTATATTGACAAGATGAAGAACTGATTAAATTTTTGGGAAGGCAGGTCCAGCGGTTATAGACTCTCAATAAAAATTAGTTGATAAAATGTCATTTTATAGAGATTTTAATAATGTGTACACATTTTTGTGTAAATTGTTTTGGGTTCCGTCTTGTCTTAAGACAAGATGCCATGCACCCCACTAGTTCTTATTACGATGAACTTGTTCATTTGTAATAGGGTAAAGCGGGGCCAATATCTCAAAAACAAGTAAAGTTAGGATAGGTTTAACAACAATATTTGAAAGTAGAGGGTAAAAGATGTATAACTGCCACCTTAATTCTTACGACATCACTATCAGGAGATAAATGGCCGTGTTTGAATTTCTATGACAAAAGTGTTTTATTTATTAACGTATAGTTTCTAATACGTCTTGGTGTATGTATATAATATGTTTTTTATACATATGCATATATATAATATTTTAACTCTCACATAAACATATAAAATATATAACTCTTTTTATATTTATAAATATACAGAGCAGCAATTTGATATTTTAATTTCTTAATTAGTAAAATTTTTTGTTGTTTAATTCCATGTGTTAAAACCCAAGAAGGTTTTCCCCGTCGATAAATCTAATTTTTAGATGATGGATCTAATGAAATTTTAGAAGTTCAACTTGCAGCTTCATGGTTAATTATAATTATATTGGAGTGTCGAGTATTAAGTAAGCGATTTTTAATCAAAAATACTATACCATGTGATTGATTTTGTAAAAAAGTTATTAAAGTTTATATATTGAAGATATTGTATACAATTATGTAACTATTTAAATGTATAGCAGGTTGGCGTTAATGAAATAAAAAAGTAAAAAGCGCTTAAAATCAATTGCTAGAAGCGCTCGACGAAGAGTTCTGCTGAAATAATAAAATATCAAATGCATTTTATAATGGCAAGGAACAATAAATACAATAAATTTTATCTTATATTAGTACCGAATATAGAGTTTTACTAAAAAAAATCCTTTGTATTCATCCACCTCAGTGGTGCAAAATGTCCAAAAAGCCTTGAAAGTCTACAAAGACGATTTCCGATACAAAGTGCAAATGTACCCAAAAAATACATGTTGATATAAAAACTAAGTAGGAACTGAAAATAAGCAAAAAACCTTTCTAATCTTAAAAAATTAAAGATAAAAGTTTGCATCATCACTTTTAAAACAAAATCACAATAATATTTTTTACTTTGATTTTGATAACTTCGATAAGATTTCTTTAACGTAATGATTTCAGCAACACTATTAATATTTTTAGTCATAATTTCATAAATATGCACATAATTGGTCATCGATAATTTAGTATAATCAGATTTAATTAAAATCAAAACAAATTTGATAACTCAATGACACAAATTATCTTACAAATTAAAATCTTAGTAATTGGAACACTGTGAAGCAATTGGTAATTTCCTTTCCTTGAGATTAGTGGAAAATTTTGATTCACAAAAATTAGATACTATTATTAGTTTTTTATGAATCTATTTGAAATATCAAATGAACTATTAAAAACTATTTGATAGTTTTTGAAATTTTTCAAACTGTATCGAGTTTAAGATATTTAAATATGATTAGTTTATGCTTTTTCAGAAAGTCCTAATCCATGAACAGACATTCAAAATTTGTTGTAATTTATCAGATATAAATCTGGTAGATAGTTTCTCATATTTATTTTGTTACAAATTTAATAATTTAAATATATTCAATAGATGGATAGTAGAAGTAGTAAAATTTCCAATTTCATTAACGTTGTCTAATATTATGTTGACTAATATTCCGACAAGTTATTTTTTGTACAGTTCATTAACAGGTAAAGAATTAATTTTTCTTCCACGCTTTCTCAAAATGTTATAAATAAATATATAAAACAATATTTGGATGAGTATCAAATTTTGAACAGAAAATGATGGATGAGTATCAAGTTCATTGGTTTCAGATATTGATCAAGAAATTTACTTGCAGTCAAACATCATCGATTAAAATAAAAGTTAATTAATTGCATGTGAAGATTTTTCGAGACCTTTCTTTATAACTAATAATAATATGAATAATAATCCTTATCTATGAATAATAGAATTTGAATGAATTATAGAAATTTGTTTGTAGTAGTTAATTAATCGAAATAGAATTACTATCCTGATTGACTAGTAAAGTCAATACAGTAAAAAATCATCAATCACTAAAGTTAATTGTTGACATTTTACTATAATATTATAATTGATGTTTTAGTAAAAATTTTAATTTACATCTTTCTGAAATATCTGTCATCCTTCAGTAATGTCAGTTATGGTTATGAGCATTATTTATTATTATGTATAATTGTTATGCAAAATTGTATCTGATTACAGGACTTAATGTTCTCTCAAATAAAATATTATTGATGATCAATAAGACTGATATACTATCATTAGATTTCGATCAATAAATTTGAATTTTCAGTTAGCAACCATAAAAAGTTGTTTTTTTTCGTTGTCGCGAGTGGTTGATATCGATCATAGGAAAGTCCTGCGTAGTGCAAATAGTCACTTTTATATTTTCCAATGAGAACAGCTGTTTGCTCAGATTGATAATCGTTGAAATAAATTCAGGGATGTCCAATACTAAATGATAAAATTTTATTAAAAATTGTGCAATGGATAACTTGGTTTTGTACGGATTCTTACATTTCTTATGAACAGTTCTTTGATATTAAAATAAAAATACCACATTAGTTTTGTAAGTAAAATATATCTGCAAAATTTTCGAAAAAATTGAAAACAAATATTCTATTTAAATTAGAGAAATAAAATTTAAAAATATATGTATATAATTAAAAAGTTCCAAGTTAAGTAATCAAGAAACATTAATGCTAAACCACTTCTTTCATATTAATAATATATTGTGCCTGTACGTTAGATAAAAATATTCAAATAAAATATTTATTTGATTTATCTTTTGTAAAATTGTCAATTTTATTGTAATTTACTTTTTTATAGTTGGTTCTTTACACCACCCACGTGAAAGCTTTTAAAGAGGTTATATAAGAAACTTTTGAATCTAACTTAAAATTAACAATATTTCTGATAAAACAATTAAATTACGTTTATTTAAAAATTATTAAGATCTCGTAAACTAAACAACAGTGCTCATAAGAAAAAAAATATTAGTCGTAAGAATCAAGGTGATGGCTGGCTATACATCTTTTTTCCTCTACTTTCCCTTTACTTGTTTTTGAAATACCGGTAGTGGACCTTTTTACCCGCGGAACTTTAAGCCCCGCTCTGCTCTATAGAGCAAATTGCTAACACGACAATAAAAATTTACAGCAATCTTTAATGTCTGTTTTAAATTTTATATATACCTACAGATAAATTTATCTCATACATCAATTTGCAATTCGTATCTTTAATTTAACTATTTATTTTTATGTAATATCATATATAATTAACGTATTATATTATTAACAGCTGTAATTTCTAACTACTTTCTCTTTATTTAAAAAAAAAATTAAGACATATGTGAACATATGCTAAAATGCAACAGATGAAGCTTGTCTTGGCTCCGTGGTAAGAACTTTGGCTTTGCAACCTCAAGATTTTATTTTTACCATCAACTTTAAGTTATCTCTAATATATATGTTTTTTTTTCACTTTCAATGAAAGATCATTGAAATAAACGATTTTTTTTAGTTTTTTTTTTTTTTGTTCCGGTGCTTTATTTGGTACTAGAGTTTATTATTTTACTAAAATTTCACACAGAAGAAAGGAAAACTAGAAATTGCCAGCCCTAACAATCACACACCGTGCATATTGGACTTGAAGTAGAGGGATAGTACAGACCATGTGTGTGGAAGCGCGGACTCATATGAGAATCTTACTAGCCAGTATAACGCATATCGCGTTTCTATCAAGACACGAAATTAATTTATATTTTTTAAAGTCAACTTTCGGTTAACACAAGATTTTTAAAAAATCAGCAAAGGCAATAATAACCAAGAAGTATATTGACCAAGAATGGACTAGTAGTTTCATCCTAACAAACACTGTACGCTTTACGAAATAGTTTTATCAAAAACATTTAATTTGATTTAATATTTACTATAAACTATTCAACATTTGGTTGAAATTATTGTAATTGATCAGCCAGTTTTCAGTTTCAGATTTTTTTTATAATTTCAAGTGCAAATTTAACAAGTGAAGTGCTTTTTATAAAATTAAAATGTTTGTAAACAAAGTGAACAGTGTTATTTCTAATTGAGTGCACTGATTAAGCTCCATGCATCCAATTCCAAGCAACATAAACGACATTGATCGTTTGAAAGAAGGTAAATTTTAACTGCATTTTTAATCAAAAAAGGAAAATTAATGGATATTTTATTATTTAATTAGTCTAATTTAATAACTCGGTTACAAATCTACATTAATATTTAATTGTTATGTTCCCTTAAAGTAGACAAATAGGTTTCAACATTTAAAGAATGCATGCTTTTATAACCGGATTTATGTCTTAAGAAAGTTTCAACAGTTATATAGGCATCGATATGATTTTTATAACACGGTTCTAATTGCTAAAGCATTTTAGGTTTTTCCAAAGAAATAAATTTAATAATGTTTGTAATAAAACTCTTAATTGATAGAAATATTGATACTATAAAATACGGCGGGCAATCAGACATATATTTTATGCTAAGATTATAAAAATATCAAATTTATTTTCGTTGATTTGTTTAGAATGTGTATTCTACACAAAAGTTTTCTATAAATTTTCGTTTGTTTTATTATGTTGATAAATAATATTAAAAATAGAGTCTTGCATATATAACGCTTAAATTAATAGATAGATCAACAAATTATTTTAAATTTGTCGTCTTAATGAGCATATAACTAAATAGCAATCTCTATAATAAACCAATGTATGTTATAATAGGAATAAACCTATTAAAAGTTCTAAACTATACTACAAACGTTATTAATGACATGAATTACATGTAATAATGAAGGTTTTCAAACATTTCTTTCATTTTTAATTTTTTCTCTATGGCCATGAAATTTTGCTATGCCCATATTAGTCATATTTTTGATAAAATGTATAAGAATGTATTCATTTTCACATAGTAAATTTATTTTATCCCCAAAAAATTTAAAGAAAACCTAGTATTGCCATACTAATCTCCAATGTTTTTAGTTGCCGTCTAAAAATGCACAATAATTTGAAACAAGTTAATTTAATTTACTTTTTACTTAAATATTGCTCATTAAAATAGGTCAATTAAGTAAGAAAGTGTTCAAGAATGTATCGGAAATTAGAAATCAGAAAAAAATCCGATCGTAAAGGAAAAATTATCTGTGTAATTCCATGAAATTAAGTTTGAAATGTTCGGGTTTACTTTCCTGACGACTAACTTCAAATATTAAACTGAAGAATATAATTATAATATATTAATAACTGGTATATAACCCATTGTCGTTAATTAATAATTAAATAATTCATAAGATTTAATTATTATTAATAAAATGGATAAAATTTAAAGCACTTAGTTTAGAACAATGATGACAACTTGTGGAAATTGAATTAGACCATTTTCTGGATTAATTTCTCTCTTTTCTCAATAACAAGAATTATCATTAGCATTTGCAAAAAAAGAAAACCAAAGCAGTTACAAATTTGGAAGTGTTTCGAGGGTGGTTAGTATGTTCAGACACATGAATGTACATGTATATAAATAATACTAAAAATGTTTTAAACTTCATATACTAATTATTTAAAAAAAATAAAAAATTTATTTGATCCTTTAACTGCATGATATCTAGATCAAATCAAATAACACATTCGTATACTAGATGTGTTCATGCAGACCATCTTCCCTTATTTAGGAAATTTGTTACATTTTTTTATTTTATAAAATGATTGAATGTGTATTATTAAAATTAAATACGAAATGTAATAATTGCTTTTTAAATTATAGACATTTAATTTATATAGTCTTCACAATTTGATCAATGTTGGTATAAAAAATATTGTAAGATTTTTAATATTTATCCCAAGTCAATAATATTCTTTGGATTTCACAAAATTTGTCATAACAACTTAATGTATAAATAATTTAATGTATGTGTATTTTCCATATTTTGATAATATTTTCTTTTGCAATTATCCTTACATAATAATGAAATATCTTATTAAACACATGAATATTCGAAGTTTGAACTGCAATTACCATAAATTGTTTACATTACCCAATTGTACGAATTTTAAAATTTCCCATCAAAAATTCTTTCCATTTTTATTTATCTGTTATGTTTTTGTTGAACTAACCACGTACAATTGTCGATAAATGCATAAAATATGTAAATGCAATGCAAATGATCAAATTAACATACATTGGTTTAGTTTCAATATTTGTTTTAGTAGTATATTTATATAAATAATAATCAGCATACTTTTACTGCGTGATCAAAAATATAATTTTGTTGGCAAAAGTTATTTAGTTAAACGCTTAATAAAATCAATTATAAAATAAAAAAACACTAGCTGTTTGAATGTTTATATATTTTTTCTTGTTTTTTTAAAATATTTTTTAAATTGAAACTAAAGATAAATTAATCCTGGTCATTAAAAAAAAGAGTCTCTACTAACCACAATTGATACAGGTTTTCATTTCTTTTCTGACGAGGCGATATTGTACGTTTAATTTAAAACAACCGATTTGAATGGTTCAAAAAACATTCGATTCCTATTGATAGGGAGATGTGCTGATTAGCTTTCGGCAAAGGCAGATCCAATAATTCAGATTTTAATTTTAATTCTGACTAAAGTTCTAATATACTTCAAACAAATAATTTCAACTTTGAAATTCAGTTTATATAATTCTTATAAATATTGGACAATGTTACAATATTTATAATAATCTACTTGAAAGCATTTAAAATTCCTCAAACATTTCGTTACAGTACGGGAAATTCCAGCAGTTTGCCTTAAGGCACGATGCCATTCACTATTTTTATTCTATTTATTGGCCTCCTTCATTTACAAAACTTAGCCATATACATATATTTTGGTCGTAACCAATGCATTTACACAAAGAAAAATTAAGATACATTTTTAAATCTAAAAAATCTTGGTAGATTTTAAGTACAAATACAAATTAATTTTAATTCGTGTATAAAATGTCAAAATATTAAATAAAAATATACAATAAATATAGAACTGCAAAAAATTATATAGAGTAGGGCGAGGCACAAAGGACCAATTTGTCTTAAAGCAATTATATTGTAAAAACTAAACCAATTTCACAAAGAAAAATGAGATAATTTATCAAATCTAATAAATCTTGATAAATTTTAATTACAAATACAAATTAATTTTAATTCGCATATAAAATGACAAAATATGAAATAAAAAAATACAAAAAATAAAGAACTGGGGAAAATAATATGGGGTAAGGTGGGGCACGAAGGTCCAATTTGTCTTTGAGCAATTATATTGTGAAAACTAAACCAATTATATGACAACAAATAACACACATCAAATGAATAACTACCTCACTATATTTAATAAATGCAGAATTGTAGAAAGGTATTTTTTTGCTATTTTGTTTTTAAATTTGCCACCTGATTTTTTTTACCCCGTAGGCGGGGTAAAATGGAGCAACCACAGGAAAACAGGACCAATTTCTTAATTTAAATTATAGAAGAATTTTACGTAATAATATAGCTACATTATTCAACCAATGCAAAGTGTAAAATTTATGGATACATTTTTTACAGAGATAACACTGTACATAACCTTGCTCTGGTATTACATTAGAGAAAATCATAAATACTGTTGGAATAAATGTTTTTTTAACCTATCTCTTGTAAAATTATTTTTTAACTTAATTTACTTTTTTATTTACTAATTTATAATGTTTTAAACTTTGCCAGGGTAAGATGGTCCTTTCTACCCTACCCGCATGAAAGCTTTTATAGAGGTTATATAAAAAAAAGGTTGAATCTAACTTAAAAACTACAATATATATTGAAAAAAACTAACAACAAAAGAAAATATCCTAAAATTGCCGTTTATCTTCCGATAGAGACGTAGTAGTAATGCAGTTTATGGCAGGTTATACACCTTTTACCATCTACTTTCAAATATTGTTGTTAAAAAATTCTTAACTTCATTTATTTTTGAGATATCGGTGGTGGACCTTTCTATCCGCGAAACTTTGGGCTCCGCTCTACTTTCTTATCTTATAAAATAGAATGCAATTAGATCAATTTTCACATAATGACCATTTTACAATATTTTATTTGCTCTTATTGCTCTCAACTATCCCAAACAAAAATTATGAATTGCTATCAATATATAAATTGATTCTATAATTTTAAAATGTTTGCACATTATAAAAAGCTAGCCGAATACGACCCTTTCTGCCCTCCAGACGGATCCAACCCGTACCTATTGTAAACTGGCGCCAAAGTCATAAAATGATTTCCGAATTACAGAGTTTGCACAAACATTCGACTGAAATATAATCGGACAAGCGACTTTACCTCTGCCCCAGGGCGTAATAAATAATATTTGAATAATTTTAAATGACATTTTCGTTTGTGATCATTTTCTAACGCGTAATCTATGAGATTATAATAAAGGTACTTGTCAACATGTTAATTTTTGCACTTACTGAATACCGTTAGAGGACAGGATTTTACCCTATTATTGGTTTTGTTATGCCGAAAATTTTGAAATTTGAGTTTATGGTAGTAATATTATAAACAGGACCGTCGACAGACGATAAGAGGTCTGGGAAAAGGCTTAAAAAAACCTCAGCAAGTTTTCTCTTAATTTATTAACCTCTTGATCTGATTAGTAACTATATGAATTATAGATAGCAATCAACAATGCGAACTATAATTTTGAAGTATAATTCTGACAATTAGCGCTAACACTTTTTATTAAAATTTAAAAAAAAAGTTTAAATATTGAAATTCATATGTTTATTAACTCTGTATGAACAACAGATTAAAAGCCTTAAATAATTAAACAATATAAAAATCATATCACTTCAGATTTTTTTGTGTACTATTATCTAATGGAGTAGATTCCTCACTGGAATATAGTCAATTTATTAGTGACATGCTTACTATTATTAATTAATAATTATTAAATAATAATTACAGTATAATATGGATAAATAGTGCATCTTCCTCTACCAATAATTAACTTTTTCAAACACTTTAAATTTCTTTAAAATTTTGTGAACACTTTGAAAAAATTAGATTTTTAGGAATTTTGATTTTTTTAAAAATAATTTGACTTTCTTAATAATTAGATTTTTTTATA